TATATCTGTACAAATATCTTTATCACATTGTTTATAAAAGCAGACACTTGTGAAACAATTAAATGCCCAATAATCCATTCCATAGACTAAATTATAGCTATTAAAAATCATGTTGAACTAGCAAATATTCACAGGAAGATGTTTGCAATACTGAGTCCATAGACTAAATTGTAGCTATTAAACATCATGTTGAACTAGAAAATATTCACAGGAAGATGTTTGCAATACTGTTAAATGAAAAGGAAGATTTCAAAAATATTTTTATAAAAGTATGTGTGCGTGATAAGACTAGAAGGTACTTAGCAAAGCATTGAGAATAGTTTTTTTGTTTTATGTTTGAGGAGCAGGATTATAGGCTGTTATTTTGAGTTTTAAGTTTTCCTGCTTTAAACATTTTATAATTAATATAAGATAATATTTTTTAAAAAAAGAGTTTGCTCAAGAAATAGACCCCCTTTTTGGTCCCAACTCCTGGAATATGAGAATTAGATGCTCAGTATGTAAATCGTATTCATGAGCCTGATGCACTCCACATAGCCTAATTTATAGAATCTCTTTGTAACAGAAGACATACTTGAGAGTGATTATCTTACAGGAAGACTTGAGGCTTTCTAAAACAACAAATTATTGTGCAGTCCTTACAATATGCAGTTCTCTTCCCTGTGTATATAGTTCAATACATACATACACAGTGTTTTCAGAGTATGTGACAACTCATGTTGCTTCATATGTCCATAACATGTCTGTATGTCCCTAAAGCCTTTATTTCTGTGCTATATTTCAATGATAATTTTATCTATTTTTTTTTTTTTGGAGGGGAAGAGGTTTTTGCCATAGGGTGTGTGCGCTCGCCAGAAAGAGAGATAGAGACAGAAAGCGAGAAATCACCCCACAGGGGGGATGGCCAGGCGTAATCCCTTCTCCTCCATTCTCCTCTCGGGATCTTAGGAATGCACGCACACTTGCCCGGCATGAGTTTAAGCTACCAGGTCCAGGACTCAAACTACGGTCGACTACATGGGAGTCCAGCAACATAGCCATTACGCTAACTGCTGGTCCCAATTTTATTTATCTTTTTTTGAGAGGTTTTTGCTATAGGGTGCGTGCGCTTGCCAGAAACACAGACACAGAGAGATGGAAAGCGAGAAATCACCCCCCAGGGGGAATGGCCATGCCACAATGCCTTCTCCATTCTCCTCTCAGGATCTTGGGCACGCACGCACATGCTCCCAGCGTGAGTTTAAGCCACCAGGTCTGGGACTTGAACCGCAGTCGGCTACATGGGAGTCCAGCAACATAGCCATTATGCCAACTGCTGGGCCGTATCTTTTTTGATATCATTTATTTTTTACCAATATATGAATCAAACTGATAATAAAAGAAGAAATGAAAGTTATATGTTCCCACACTGATCAGGTGCTTTATTATACCAGCTTTTATTACCAATTTACCCATAACTTGAGAGTATTAAAATGAAACTCATTATGATGGGAAGATGTCCTGTATTGCTCAATGTAAGTACTTAGAACCTAAAGCTAACAATTTAGACTAAGGACTAGAAATTTTAACAAGAATTTCTAAATCAGTACTTTACTGTCACCTTGCATTCCCTGGCATTTGCCATTCCCTGGCATTTTCCCAGGTTCTCTTTTTGTATGGTGAAGATCTCAGGAAGCTGAAGTCTTCACTTTAAAAAAAAAAAGAATTATTTTATTCGACCTCATTTATTATCATTTTTTAATTTGACCAGAGAAAGACAGAGGGGTGGGGAATGAGGAAGCAAGCTGCCAGGTCCAGGACTCGAACCACAGTTAGCCATGTGGAAGTCTAGCACCCTTAGCCACCATGCCACCTGCCAGTCCCTGAGATCATAACTTTTTAATCTAGTGGTTTTTATTCTCTGTAGATTGGCATTGTGTTGTTCCAGGAAAACTGCCTAATTCAAAAATATTGACCGATATTTTTGGACTTTAGTATTCTAGAATTAGAGATGTGAACCATTGATAGTCACATTGCTTTTAGTTTCTAGAACATTCAGCTTAGAGGTTTCAGCTTTAATACAGAGGAACATCTGTCTCCCCTGCACCCTCACTGATACTCACTGTCATATTGTGTCTGTGAACAGGTTCCTGGCATAAATTTACCCGTGAATCAACTGACCTATTTCTTTGCTGCAGTCCTCATTAGTGGTGTTGTACATGAAATTGGACATGGGATTGCAGCCATTAGGTAATTATGTTTACCATTTTCTTTCTACTACATGCAAAGAACCTTTTCATTTGGGAGGGTTTCTTAGTATAATCTGCTATCTTTGATATTTTACTATTTTTCTTTCCATGAATGTTGCCCAATGCATATCCATTGTTTATTACTTTGAGATAGCATCTCTTTTATGGAGATTTAATATACTGATGAACATGCTCAGTTAACCATATGGATATCTGTAATCTGGGTCTTTTTGTCTTTTGCCATCATGGTTATACCCTCATGGTGCTTCCAGGGTTTTCATCCATTCCTGAAAGCTGATCCTTCTGTTCATCATTGGATTGGAATAATACCCACTATACTCAACCCACCCTGTGCTTTCTTTGGCTTATCAGATGAAATAATTTCCTGCTTCTGCCTATGTCTTCTGATGACTAGAGCAAGAATACTGAAAGTGCTACATATAGCAAATATCACTGTCGATCTAGAAGCACAAGTGGGAGATGAGAGGGGGATAAGTGGGAAATAAGAGGGGGATGAGATCTGCAATTTGCTTTGACATCATGGCTTGTTCTTGATCTGAACTACCCAAATATATCCTTGTAATTATACCTGAACATTTAAAAGCCTACTAAACTGGCAGCCAAGAGGTTGTTATGGTGGTTAAGGCAACTGGCTCCTACATGGTCACCTGTGTAATTCAAGTCCCAGACTGCAGGTTTAAGATCCTGGACCCAGTAGCGTGAGAAACATGTGAGGAATGTGTGCATGCATACCCAAAATCCCTGGAGAAAGGATTGTAGTGTGACCATCCTCCACAAAGGGTGATTTCTCACTCATTTTCACTGTTTCTCTCTCTCTCTCTCTTTTTCTCGCTCTCTGGAGAGCACACATGCCCTTTAGCTAAATAAAGAAATACCTACTAAACTTAGGAAATTCTGATGGAGAGGGCATATCAAAACTCGTCAGCCACCCCTTCTTATATTTACTGCCATTGTCAGCAGGCATGCTGGCAAGAATGTATTTACTCTTTTTATATGTGGACCATAGTAAAGGTTAAGAGCCACTGTTTTAGAGATTTAATCACTTATTATTGCCTTCCAGTTGCTTATGAACAAGAGCCTATTGATTGGCAATAAACTCTCATCCTGACAGAGCATGTACTGTTACCCAGGTGTGCGCAGTAATGATTAAAGGGGTGGCTACCTTCTTTTTTTCTTTCTTAATCTCTTTTACCTTTGCTTCCACGTTTTTAGCTTTGCAGTTTTTATCTTTTTATATATAGAAGCCTTGTTATTAGCAGTTTCATAATTTACAGTATATTTGTGAAGTAACTTAGGTAATTTTTTTTTGAGAGGTTTTTGCTATAGGGCACGTGCGCTCGCCAGACAGACAGAGACAGAGAGACAGAAAGCGAGAAGTCACCCCCCAGGGGGGATGGCCATGCCGCAATCCCTTCTCCTCCACTCTCCTCTCGGGATCTTGGGCACGCACGCACACACATCCGGCGTGAGTTTTAAGCCACTGGGTCTAGGACCGAACCATGATCGACTATGTGGGAGTCCAGCGACATAGCCATTACGTTAACTGCTGGTCCCAATATTTTTATAAAATCTCAACTGCTAAAATGAATTGTATAATTTTCTTATACAGTTCATATTAAGCAACAGCACAATATATTTAGGTGATGATCTTTTTCACAGTAGCTATTTATTCTTGACTATTAAGTATAATATCTATCTTTAGACAATGGAGTTAGTAAAGAAATAATTCTCTTAAGAACAATCAGAGCATTATGCATTTTGAACATATTTTAACATTAGCTCAATAGGAATACATGTATGTATTTCTCTGCCATTATTTATAATAACTAAGATAAATAGAAGTATTTAGATAATTTTCATGTATTATATATTCTCCTGTGTCCTCTAAAAATAGTTGAGAATAAACTGTGAAGGTGGTTTTCATTCAGTTTCTTATAGAATTATTAACCATTTTTTATATATGTAACTAATTTCAGTTATTTGCCCACCATGTTGGTGTGTAAAAATTTTGAAGTTGTCTTTTTTAGAATACCCTGTTTTATAAGATAAAATCTTATAGATAGCCAAATCTGTATACTATTATAAAATTATAATTATATATAGTACAGATGTGATCTTTTTGGCTATACAGAGATACTTTAAGCAATAATTGTATTTACAATAAGAAATAATTAAGATTCTATACATCATTACTTTGACAAATGCATTTGAAATAGTAAATTCCTTTTTGTTATGTGGTTTCTCAGGGAACAAGTTCGATTCAATGGCTTTGGAATTTTTCTCTTCATTATTTATCCTGGAGCTTTTGTTGATCTATTCACCACTCATTTGCAACTTATATCACCAGTCCAGCAGCTAAGAATATTTTGTGCAGGTAAGAGACTTAATTTCCTTTTTAATGTTCATCTGTGATTTTGGTTTTGGTCTTCTATGGTCAGTGGTTTTTATGGAAAGTACTCATGTCAGAAATGATAACATCTTATCTTTTGGTTAATAAATTCATGTTATAAGACTCCCTCAAAAGTATTATAGAAAGTAATTTACATTACAGTTTCTTCTTTTAAACTAACTAAAGGGCCAGCTGATGGCATGGTAGTTAAAATGGCTGGATCGCACATGGCCAACTATACTGTTCAAGTCCCAGACCTGGCAGCCTGTAAGACATACTAGGCACATGTGCATGTGTGTCTCAAAACAAGAAAGTCCAGGTATGGAAGCTTCAATTAGTAATGTGAAAATGAGTATGTCAAGGCCTGATCGTGTGTCACAACCAGGAAGGCACTGTTGTGTGGTAGCTGAGACTGCATGGGAGGCCTGAGTTCTCTTCTGAGCCCAACCTAAAACAGACCAGGCATGTCTGTGGTCCTAGGTCACCGAAAGGTTAGGTAGGAGGATTGACGCATGGTGAGTTCCGGTCAAAAATATCTTCCCCCATAGACCAGGGAAACTGTGTTCTGTGAGACACTCCAGCAAAATAATTGAACCTAAAGGGGGGAGGGGGGTGGGGGCCCTAGCTTATAGCCAGTCAGTCAGAAGCACACGTAGAACAACCTGGGTCTTGTGATTGGCATCTGAAGGAGGGGAGCAGTCTTGGTTACTGAGCTGTCAACCTGTGGAATCTGACACTAGTGTCAGAATTGAATTAGATTAGAGAACTTGCAGCTGGTGTTTGCTGCAAGCCTGTTTGCTTGCTTGTGGGGAGATATCCCTACACATTTTGGGATCACAAAAATGATGTGTGTTGAAAGAGTGGTGAGAAAAATGGTTTGCTTTTGGGACCAGCAGTTGGTGTCGCTGGACTCCCATGTAGTCGACCGTGGTTGGAGTCCCGGACCCAGTGGCTTAAACACATGCTGGGCATGTGTGCGTGCATGCCCAAGATCCCGAGAGGAGAATGGAGGAGAAGGGAATGTGGCATGGCCATCCCCCCATGGGGTGATTTCTCACTTTCTCTGTCTCTCTCCAGTGAGCTTATGTACCCTATAGCAAAAACCTCTCAAAACAAACAAACAAACAAAATGATGCATGTTGAGAGAGTGGTGAGAAAAATTGTTTGCTTTTGGGACCAGTAGCTGGTATAATGGCTACATCACTGGACTCCCATGTAGTCGACCACAGGTTGAGTCCTGGACCCAGTGACTTAAACTCACGCTGAGCACATGTGCGTGCATGCCCAAGATCCTGAGAGGGGAATGGAAGAGAGGGGATTGCAGTGTGGCCATTCCCCCTGGGGGTCTGATGTCTTGCTTTCTGTCTCTCTGTCTCTCTGTCTTTCTGGTGCGACACGCTCTTTACAAAAAAAAAAAAAAAAAAAAAACTCTCAAAAAAATGGTTTGCTTTTACTGAACACAACCATGAACACAGAAGATAATTTCTTTTTTCTTAAAATCTGCTATAAGGCATATGTGATCACCAGAGAGACTGTGGGGGGACGGGTGAGAAAGCATCCTCCCCAGGGAGGATGCCATGCCACAATCTTTCCTCCATTCTCCTCTTAGGACTTTAGGCATGGACTCCTACACACCTGGCGTACCTCTCATGCTGCTGGACTGGGATACATAACACATAGTTGACCATGTAGTATCCAGCCACCTTTACCACCATGCTACCAGCTGACCTGACAATTTCTTTTCAAGTGCCCATGTAATTTATAAAAATTGACCATGTGTCCACAAAGAAATGCTCAGTAAATTCCTAAGAGTAAGAAAAGGAACCTAAGTAAAAATTACTTGAACTTTCGAAATTGATCTTAATCATTCCTTGCATTATTTTAATTTAAAACCATAACTACAGTAAATTTTAAAATGGCGAAAATTAAATCATTATACTGGGAGAATGTGTAGTTTTCTAAAAGGGGCCAGCTGGTAGTATGGTGGTTGGAGCAGCTAGATCCCATATGGCTATGTTGTTCAAATCCTGGATCTGGAAGCTTGAAAAAACATGCCACGCATGTGTGTGCACATGCATGTCCAACATCCTGAGAGGAAAATGGAGGAGAAGCCATTGCTGTGTGGCCATCTCCCCAGGAGGTTCTTTCTCACTTCCCTCTCTGTCTTTATCCTGTGAGTACTTATTGCCTGTGACAAAAATTAAAAAAAAAAAAAAAGTTCTGCTAAAAGAAAAATTCACTGCCTTAGGCAGTGATATAATTAGAAATGGAAATAAATCGGGGCTGGCAGGTGGCATGGTGGTTAGGTGCTAGACCCCCACATGTTCGACCACGGTTCAAGTCCCAGACCTGATGGCTTGCTTTCCCACTTTATCTTTTTCTCTGTCTCTCTCTGGTCAAATTTAATAATAATGATGATAATAATAAATAAAATAAATAATTCTTTAAAATAAATAAATAAAAAGAAAGAAAAAAGAAATGGAAATAAAACAGTTAAACATTCAATTTAAGGAGTGTGAAAACAACTATAAAATAATTAAGAAATGATGAAGTAACTGGTAAGGTTATAGGCAGAAAATAGTAAGCTGGAAAAAAAAAGCAAAATAAAACTTTTAAATCTAAGAGTTTTTTCTTTTCGTTTTCTTTCTCTTTTTTTTTTTTTTGCTTTTTTTGGTCTTGCTGAGACAATTAAAAGAATGTGAATGGTCTTTTGTTCATTTTTTCCAAAAAAATTTTTAAAAGACTCAGAAGCCTAGATAAGTACAAGAACATAAAAATAACTGAAATTAACCCCAGAATACATAGGGGGGGAAATAAACAGACTAGTACTGACAATGAGAAGATTAATTTTTTAGTATTTTTAATTATTTATTATTTTTATTTTTCAATTTGCTATAATGCCCTATAGCAAGCTCACCTATAATGAGCTCACTGGTGGTGGTGGGGGGAGGGGAGTGAGAAAGCAAGCTGCCAGGTTCAGGACTCGAACAATGATTGGCCATGTGGGAGTCCAGTGCCCTTAACCACCACACCAACCTACTGGCCCCACAGTGAGAACAATTTTAAAAGTTGATGAATAATGTCCATGAAAGTTTCATAGATGGAACTCTTTCAAATCTTGAGTGAGGGGCCTGCAGGTATCATGGTGGTTAAGGCACTAGATTCCCACATGGCTGATCAAATTAATGAAATACATTAATGAAATACAGAAAAACTCCTTAAAGTGCTTGGTTACTAAGTATTATAACTAGCTGGACAGGGAATGCTAGCCAGAGCGGAGCGGGAGCGCCAGCGGGGAGCGTAGGGAGCACAAATGTGAGTGAGAGCAGGAGCATGTGCACGAGCACGTGTATGTGGGCATGAGCACGTGGGCACAGCGTAGGCACGCTGACCAGACTGTTAGGAGCGCATGCGTGAGTCGTTCAGTTCAAATCCTGGACCTGGCAGTTCTTTCTCATTTTCCCTCTCTCTCTCTCTGGTCAAATTAAAAATAATAATAAATACATTAAATTAAATAATTCTTTTAAAAAATCTTGAATGAAAAGATTTTTCTTGGGGCTGGCCAGTAACATGGTGGTTAAGGCGCTGGGCTCTCACACGGCTGACCATGATTCAAGTTCCAGACCTGACGTCTTGCTTTCTCACTTTCCCTCTCTCTCTGTCTCTTCCTGTCAAATAAAAAATTAATAATAATGGTACCAGCAGATGATATAATGGTTATGTCGCTGGATTCCCACATGGCCAACGGTAGTTTGAATCTCAAACACGGCAGCTTAAAACTCATGCCAGGCATGTGTGCGTGCATGCCCAAAAGCCAAAGAGGAGAATGGAAGAGAAGAGATTGTGGCGTGGCCATTCTCCCTGGGAGGGTAATTTCTCGCTTTCTATCTGTCTCTCTCTGTCTCTCTCTCTCTCTCTCTCTCTAATGAGCACACATGCCCTATAGTAAAAGAGAAAAAATCTCTTGTAATAAAAAAGTAATAATAATTCTTTAAAAAAAGAAAGGATTTTTCTTTTTAATTCCAATTTAGTATAAACTTTCCAGAGAACAGAGAAGAAAACTTAGAAGTTTTTTGGCTTTGTTTTGTTTTTAATAGCCAATATAACACTGAATCAACTTCTGGTAAGGCATAGGAAAAACCTAGACACAGGGTCTATCTATCTCTCAAGAATGCACGATGGTTAAACATTAGCTAATCTGTTTGAATGTGGTAAATATTATTTGCCATTAGAGAAAAATAATGCTCACCTCAAAAGATATTGAGACAATATTTAATAAAATTCAATATCCATTAATGATTGAAAAATTCCCTTGTAAATATAGGACTATCTAGACATTTCATGGAAGCATTCCTGTTCAATGCTAAGACAAGCAATCTCACTGTCAGCTATTACTGAAATTATTAAATGTTGGTGTGAAGTGTGAATTACTGCCATTAAATAACAGGAGAAAAATATAAGAAGTAGACCTTTTTTTGGGGGGTAGATACTGTTATGTGCCAGAGGGGGCAAAGACAGAATTCTCAAATTAATGAAATGCATTAATGAAATACAGAAAAACTCCTTAAAGTGCTTGGTTACTAAGTATTATAACTAGCTGGACAGGGAGTGCTAGCCAGAGCGGAGCGGGAGCGCCAGCGGGGAGCGTAGGGAGCACAAATGTGAGTGAGAGCAGGAGCATGTGCACGAGCACGTGTATGTGGGCATGAGCACGTGGGCACAGCGTAGGCACGCTGACCAGACTGTTAGGAGCGCATGCGTGAGGCGTTCAGGCGCATGCGTGTTTGGAGCACCCAGAGGCACTTGCGCTCTCTGCCTCCGGCGCTCAGGCTTCTCTCAGGCTCTCGCCGGTTCTGTGGAGCTCGCGCCTTTTTCCAGAACTTGTACCTTTTTCCGGAGTTCGCGCCTTCCTCCTCCACAGCTTTCCAGTCACCTACTTGCTGCCTAATAGCTGAGACCACCTCAAAGTGCCAGCCATGTCTGAAGAACAAGTTATCTACATCACCACAGAAAACTCAGAAATTACCACAAATATTGTGGGCCTGCACCAGATCGGTGTGGAGACTGTTCCTGTGGAGACTGTGCAGGTGGAAACCATCGAGGGGTACCAGAATATTGGCGGCAGTTGGGTCCACGGAGGCCATCACTACCCCCCTCTGATTGCGCTGCAGCCGCTCATCACCGATGACGCTAGCCAGGCCGCCCATGACCAGGAAATTTTCTTGGTGCAAACAGAAGAGGAGGTGGTGGGTTACTATGAGTCAGACAACCTGCAGAGCAACAGCGACTTCGAGAACCAGGTGGTCATCCAGGTCAGTGACCAAGATGAGTACTACCAGCAGACCCTGGCTTCGTTGTTAGCCTCCACACCAGCGTCGGCCTGTATACCAGCGTCGGCCTGCA